GAAAGAAAGAAAGAAAGAAAGAAAGAAAGAAAGAAAGAGAAAGAAACCTGAAAACAAGAAACACAAGATATCCTGAAAACACTGAGCAATTTCCTAAACCTGTGGCATTAGTTCATCAGACTCATTCTGACTGCACTTCAAATCCAACAGGATCTCCTAGAATTATTCTGTGCCCTATTGCCTGGGCCAACATACAGCCATGTGCTGCAGAGTATCAGAAGCTGGCCTTGACTTGACTTGTGAATTTCTTTTAGAAGCAAAGGCAAAAGGCAAATAAAAGACAGGGCAAGGTGGTGTGTGAGAGAGGGGAGCCGCAAGAGCTCCTGCAGAGGGTGCCTCTGGCTGCACAGCCCACTCCATTCACACCGTCCTCTGTCCTTGATCTGCACAACACAGGTTTCCAGAGGTATAGCCCAGGCTGCATCTCAAGGCTCTCTGGCCTCTCCTTCTTCCTTGGTTCACTAAGCTAGATGCCTGGCTCTGCCTTGACAAGACCTTTGCTCTTTGCAGCGGCTGTGGTGTGTGTCACTCTCCTGGATCGCCTGCAAGGGGACCAGATCAACAGCCCCCACGAGGTACTTGCTGAGTACCAACAGAGGCCGCAGCGGCTGGTGGGCCACTTCATCAAGAAGAGCCTGGGGAGGGCCTGAGGCCCAAGCCTGCTTACTCAGGACAAACTCCTGCAACTCTTGGTCAATAAATCTGTTTTTCAAATACCAGTATATGTGGATTGGAGCATAAGAATGTGTGGAACTGGGCTACATTTTGGCAGTAAGTTAGCCTTACAGGATTGCTTTCTTCTTAAGCATCGTCATAGACTTTTTTTTCTTTTAAAAACCCACTTTTTAAAAATTTGATTGGCTGTTTCTTCAGGAACAATCTTATGAGTGTTTGAACTATTTCTAGGGAAACTTTCAGATTTCTATCCTGAGGTGGTCAGATTCCATGTCACGAAATTGTGCCAGAAAACATTTCCTGGTGTATCGTGGTGGCACACGCCTTTAATCCCAGCACTTGGGAGGCAGAGGCAGGTGGATCTTTGTGAGTTCGAGGCCAGCCTGGTCTATATAGTGATCCAGGACAGTCCCAGCACTTGGGAGGCAGAGGCAGGTGGATCTTTGAGAGTTAGAGGCCAGCCTGGTCTATATAGTGAATTCCAGGACAGCTGGGGCTACAAGGAGACCCTGTCTCAAAAAACACACACACACACACACACACACACACACACACACACACAATTCTATGCAGTTATCCCTGGGTGTCTGCAGACAGGATTCAAGACTGAAGAGGAACCTGTGATTAGGGAGAGATGCACAGGGGAGCCATTGCTGAGCCTGCTGACAGCACCTTCCTGTGGGACTGGGCAGATGATATAGCAATTTTTGTACTGAGAATCTCCAGGTTTCCACAGGTGTTGCTGGATAAACCCAGGTTGGGCCTACGTGGTGCTGCACCGCCCTCTGCTGTTCAAGCTAAGTAGTGCATGCTATCTGACTAGCCAGCAAAGGGGTGAAGGTGTGCCCGGACCTGACATGCAGGAAACGCAGCTGAACAATAAATATATCACATTTGGATCTGACAAACACGAATCCATTTCTGCTGTTACAACTGAACTTGTTGGTTTAGTTTGTTTACTGAAGTCTCAGGACCTGATGTTGTAAACGCTGTCAAATGTATCATCTGACAATTCCCTACAATTCCTCCACATTGCCACCAAAGGATAGGTCCCTCCTTCATCCAGCCAACACTGATCGCTCTAATTTTCAGGTCTGTCCCACTCTGGCCTTTGGCCTGATCCCCTGGGGCTGTCTTCCCACAGCTCTTGGCTTTGTGCACCCCTCCCAACGTGATCAGCTCTGACAATAAGGGCCCTTCTTCCTGCAGGAGTGCGACACCGATGGGTTCCAGCTCCCAGCAGGTCACACAGAACGAGGAAGCGGGCCGAGTTTGTTCTGATGGACAAATTCCCCAGGTTTAGAAAACTGCTCAGGGCTTTCAGGACGTCCTTCAGAGACAAACTCAAATGGTGTTCTCTGATGTTAAACCACCAACTGCTGGCCATTTTGCAAATAGAAACATGAAGAGGTTACCAGTAAGTCACAGAAGAATCTACCCCGGAGCTGATGTCCCCATGATGGGTGGCCCTCTGCCTCCCCATGTCCCTTCCTCCTGTGTAACCAGCCCATCACACCCATAAAAGTAGTAATATTACTTGCCAGTAAGGAGGAGAATGGTGTGCTCTTATATACAACCTTTCCCTCAAATCCGTGCATTAATCAATTTCAACCCATGTTTTCAATCGTATGGTTTGGCAAATTCAACTCTTGCTTTAAGCCTGCTGCTTTGTTGCTTGGAGAAAACTCATATGGCCTAGAAGATGTGGAGAAGAATGTTTATGGTGGTCATGTAGCTGGGGCAAAGGTGGAATCAGTCATGTGACCATTAGTAATCAGTCATGTGACCAAGAATATGCATACAATTTGATGTCTTTAGAAGGCCCGCTACAGTGAAACTGAATGCAAATAGCTTCACACTTGGTGCAAAACCATTTCATAGAAGGAAGAAACCAGATTGCTCAATAGTGCTTACACCATTGTTTCATTTATAAAAAGATCAGAAACAGGTGAAAGCTAAGATACCACATCACATGATTAGACTAAAGGAAAGAATCCACACCAGAGATGGAGGAACCCCAAATATGGGCTAGGGAGTCTCTGTGGGGAAGGCAGGCTGCCCTGGGGAGGAACAGGGCTGTTAGAACACCAGGAAAGTCTGTTTTCTGTCAGACTTTGCACATGTGGGCTCCTGCTTTGTGGTTTTTATACCTTGCTCATATTTTGAATCCTTTGGTAAGCTAATGAGAGGCCATGGGACTAATCCCAACCTGGGATTCAAGCCGTATTTGTAAAAGAAAGCATCAGTGATAATGTCAGCAAATATTACTGACGTGTCTGTATTCAATAAATATTTTCCAGTTACTAAACAGAAAGGAGGGAGGCTTCTGATCAATGCTTATGCAGTAGGATCAACTCGACTGAAATTTTAAAAAAAAGTAACAACTACTATTGACAAATTTTGGCTTGGAGCATTCATGACTCAATCCTGCCTCAACCTCTTCTGAACTATCACTGCCACCAATTGCCAGACCACACTGAGGCCTCAGTGGATGAAGGCTTCCTTTAGGGTCTGCTTGGAGTTCAAATGTGTTCTTCATATCCTCAGTTACTCAGGCAGCCATCTGTGTATGACATGCACATGTGTGCACACAGACGCATAATAGATGTGCACACCTGTGTGCATTGCGCATAGACATGCACATACAGAAATCTGTAATGATAGAAGACTGGCACTCAGGTTTGTGAACTTCATGGGGAACTGACGACTTAGGAGTCTCAGGCCTTTTGGGTCCTGGCACTATCAGTACCGCAGCACAATCTCTCCGCTTTAGGGTTTTCCTGGGTATTTTATTAGAAGAAAATATTTAAAAATGCAAACTTGCAGCTGTCATACAGATATACAGTGAACATTTGTGCTTTGTTCATGAAGCAGTCCTGTCAGTGAGAAACCTTCCTGTACCACTGTGCGAGTGAGAACTCAGTTATCCTGGAATGGGTGCTGTGTGGAAGGGGGTTGGGGCAGTACAGACAGGGTCCTACTCATGGTTACCCAGTAAAGTGGAAGAGGAGCAGTGATCACTTCTGGTACTGGGATGCTACTCGGTGACTGAGTTTTGTTTAGCATCTGCAAAGGCCCTGGGTTGTTTCACTACCAAGGGGGAAAAAAAATAAGCCACCCCCAGTCTAAATAAAACCCCCCAGCAATAAGCACTTCTTTCTTCCCCTAAGAGATAACTGTATGAATCTTGGAATGGTTCCCTACATCCCCCTGAGGAAGGATTTTTTAGTTATACGGGCCCATGTGGACCCCCCCCCCCCCACCATAAGTTTAAAAAAGCTGGACTCTCACTACTGTTTGTGAAAAACCTTTTGTGGGAAGAAGCAACTGACTTCTTGGAAGGAAGTATGTTGCTTCCCTTAAAGGTGTTACAGACTTGACTTTACTTAGTAGAAGGGTCTTGGCAGGTGCTGGTCTAGGTGGAGGAGCAGCCAGAGTGACCCACAGGGAGCAAAGGCATGGTTATGTTTGTGGAGTGAGGATGCCGGCATCAGGTGATTGGTTGACCACCTACAGGCAGGTCAGGTGGGAACAGATGCAGACACAAACTGTAAGGTTGGCCAGCAGTTATCTGCAAGTTCTAGGACTGTAAAGGGCTTTGATGGAAACAGATAGAGGCCTGGAAGTGGTGCCTGTAGAGTCAGGACAGGGCACTTTCTGAAGTCCTCTGGTTGTCCTGAGCCAGCCATGGGAGGACAGAGAAGGTGGAGCATCCCAGGCCCAGGTTCTTTACCTCACTCCAGCTTCTCCTAAGGAAAACTAGGTTTGCTGCAGAAGGTCCTAGTGAAGTCCAGGGAAGTGCCCAGGCAGGGGGCCTGCACTTACAAGGCTGGTGGTAAGGGTCCAGTTCTTTCCCAGAGAACTAAACTGTGTATCTACTTTTCACTCACAAACCTTCTAAGGACTCATAGTTATTCTCTCCGCATGCATAAGTGAAAAGTGTGCATGTTTCAAGAGCAGCCAGTTAGATTATGCCACGTCAGGCAACAGACTGATGCACAGAAACTGAAGGATGCATGTGCAGAATAATGATGTAAAATCAAGGCTTCCGAACATATTGCTATTTTAAAAATATTTTTTATTTTTATTTTCATGTGTATGAGTGTATTGCCCGTGTGTATGTAAGTGTACGACACCACTTGTCCGGCAACGCCCACAGAGATCAGAAGAGACCATCGAATTCCCCCGGAACTGAAGTTACAGATGGTTGTCAGGTGCCATGTGGGTGCTGGGAATCAAACCTAGGTCCTCTGCAAGAGCAGTCAGTGCTCTTAACTGCTGAGCCATCTCTCCAGTCCCACCTACAGCTTTTTTATACTACAGTGCAATACGATAGAGGAACATCACAAAGGTATTTTTATTTTAAGCATCTACAGATTCAAAGGTTCTTCATGACAAAGTACTTGGAAGAGTTTTTGAACATAAAGATGAGCTGATAATTTCAAATCATTTCACTTTTTTCTACTATGTGAAGTGAACCAGTTGTGATAGATGGAAGGCTTTTTGACAGTTGAAAACATTGACTCCATGGCCTCTGATATGCTAAGTCAGTGCTCGACCACTGAGTTGCATACCATCTTGTTTTTTTCATTTTAAGATAAGGTCTTAACAAGTTACCCAACTGGACCTAAGCTCTATTGCCCAGGCCGTCATAAATCCTCAGCCACAAAATTCACAGAGATTCTAAGTCTGAGCCACTAGGCCAGGGCTAGAAGATGCTTTTAAATTTAGAAAGATCTGTTTTAGGGGGCTGCTAATGTTGTCCAGTTGGCAGATTGATTGTCTAACATGCACAAAGCTCTGGGCTCTATCTCAAGCACCATATAAAACCAGTGTGGTGGTATATTTATATAATCCTAGCACTTAGGTGGAGAAGCAGGAGGAGATGTTCAAAAAGAGGGAAGGAAGGAAGGGAGGGAGGGAGGACTGTTTGAATCTAACTCTTTAAGTCTTATCAAATGTGAGGACTAAATAGCATTTTGAAAACAATTATTTAGAAACATGTTCATTGTATGTGATTTTGTTGCCAAAACTGATATATGAAAAC